CCGAAATTATTTGTCATTCTACATGTTATAAGTCATGGGAAATGTAAAACACTAGATAAATAAGAACAAAGAAAAAGTAGACATTATCATGCAAACAAGCATAGACCCGGGCATACTTTCATTTTTAACAATTCTGTGGATTATTTAGTCTATTTGAGGCCATGTCTGCACTAATGTCAGCCCGAGAATTTAACGAACAGTGAACTTGGCAGCAGTTCATGCCTAAATAATTCTGTGTGATTGAATTTCGCAAAAAATCTGACCCGGTAATGCCTTTCCATCTCAAGCAAACTAATGAGGTTTTCCAAGCCTGTCTACTAGCTGAAAAAAATTAGTTATGTGAATAAGTAGAATTTGCCTTAAAATGTTCACTTTTGTACATTTTTATATTTTCTTAATTATTGTAATTTCTTTAAAGAAGGCTATTTATAAAAGAAATTTACTCGAGTAAGATATAAGAAAATATAAAAATGTCGTGTAAATCATTTTTTCTCGATAGAAGAACGTCACTTTATTATGTTAATCGTGGAGTCAATAAGATAAAGGCTAATAAATTAAACGACAGTATACGATTTAAGGCTACAAATTAGGTTGGTAGGCCTACTCACTTGAGAATTCTTCTCCGCCTTCTGAGGAATTCTGCACAAAGAACAAGCTGTGGCTATCAAGAATAGGCAGGATAGTGATTTATTAATAGTTACGCTTATAAAACTTGATATATTGTTCAGCCACTGAATTTCAAATAGGCTAAGAGTCTACCTTTTTCGATAGTAGGAACAAAGTTAATCCTATTATAAATTAGATGTACCATCATTTAGTTTTGATGTCCATATGCCTATATTATCCGAATACTTGTAGTGAAATTTTGTATATTATCGGAACTGCATTCATCTTTAACCGCATAATTTGATGACAAACTGCTAATTACATTTTTCTACCATAGTATGTGAGCACCTCCCGAGTTTTTTCACTATAAACTAGTCTTGGCTCTCAAAAACGATAACGAATTCGCTTTGATCTGTTCATCATACCAAATGCAAACTGAGCCCAGATAATTTTACATATAATTTCGACCTGCCACCACCACTTCACGCTGGCACCGATGCTACTGGTCTAAAAGCAGACGTAAGTTTCGAGGCAGTTTAGACGTCTCCCATATCCCATTTTAAAGCGGGATTTCCAAAGAAGTAAATTTGGCTTAAACCACTAGAGGGCCATGAATAAAAACAATATTTACCCTAGCTCACATAAGATAATGAAAGTGGGGCAGTTGGATCCTACACAAGTTTGATTCCCTCTGAGAAAATTCTTGTTTAAATCGCAGCCCATCCTGGATGCAAAGTTCGTTTTCGTGGCAAAGCTGAGTAAAGCTAATTGACATCATTAATCCCTATTCATACTATTATGATAAAAGTTATCTATCAGTCCTTCATCACATTATACAAATAAGGTCAGCCGGATGTTTATAAACCTATTCTATCCGAATTTATGCAGTATATGATGATTGCCTCTGGCAGTATGGCCCTCCGGGTAGACAAAAATGGTTAGACTTCTATAGCGCTATTCTCAACTTTCATTTCTCATGTCAACTATTTTTCAGGCAGGACAACATCCTTGGTACTTTGCCACTCTTAGTTCTGTAACCACCATTTGGCCTTTTAATTAGTTTAAAAAGCCTGGGTCAGAAGGACCCTCAGCGAAATAGATATCGCACAAATACCAAGCAGACTTAAATCACAGGAAATTGAGATAATCGTTTGGATTTTCTTTGGCTGGATCTCTGGCCTACCAGGATATGACATCCAGAAAAAATGGAGCTAGTTTCGTTAAATATACCTCCATTTGTGTATTCAGTCTGAAGAATGGATTTCTAGGATGATGGCTTGTAAGCCAAGTCGAATGAATAAAAACTGAGCATATTATTCTCCGAAGAGACACCACAGACCTGAGTTAATCCATTTACAACTTACATCTATCAGGCGATAATTAGTTGATTTTAGAGAGGATTTTCAGGAACGTTTAGCTGAACAAAATATCATAATATTACAATGCCCACCAATTTGAATCTTTATTTTCATCATGAAGATTCGAAAAATAATTTATTTTTCTAATTATCTGAACTTTCTGCATAAGTGGGATGCTAAATATGCCTTTCATGTCGTCCACGAACTATAATCAGTGTGTAGATTTTACCCAAATGTTACTCTGAATAGAGTTTAAAAACTAAAATTTGATAAGCGTTACGTGATGTTCCATTCAAAATAGGAGACCTCTGTTTATCTCAAGGTTGTGGAATCAAATAAGGTATCATAAATACATGGAAGACAACCCTGCCAATCTGAACAAATTCTGGTGAATGATTGGCTAGGAGGAAAAAAATGGGTTTTATTTCAGCATTATCAATAAGTATTACTGGCCAGTAGAAATATGATGAAGTATAGCAACTTCTTGGGAAAGAATATAAAGAAAAAAATTCATAGGATTTTAACAATGTTATCCTGTATACTATCAAAATAACAGATGAAGTGATGAGAAAGTGTAGAAATTAGGGCACTATTTAAAAGAATACAGACATTCGGTTTTGCCTTCATCTTGAAAATATAGTATCATATTCCTTAGAGCAAATTTGCATAAATATTTGTTATATGATGTTGCCGAGCAAGATACAAGAGGATGGCAGAGTTAAGGTATATATTTATATGTCTATAGAGTGTTTTAAACACATGGCCAATACAGGAGAACAAATCACTCGCTCGCTCATGTTATCAGCATTTTGATTATTAAACTTAAGTTTGTTTGGATATATCTGTAGCTCCCAAACTATCGTATACACGATAGCCAGCTGGCAAACGCATATCCGGTCATTAGTAAGAAGAAACTGGTTAAGTGGCAAATTCACCACTTTCAAAGGGTGATAAAAGAAAGAATTCGTAATTTTAAAAGGCCTATCAAAACTATAAGTAAACTAGTCGTACCCTCGATTCACCCTCGTTTGACTCAAATTATAGCGAGCTTTTAGGTTTAGCATTATCAGCATATTTTCATGTTAAAATTCTTGTAAAACACCACTTTATTTGTAAACGAAAGTGAAAAGACATTTATTCATATAATTATAATAAATATAAGGAGGAAGATGTTGTGACAACTAATTTGCTATCAGTCGACTGTCGATGTAGAGGATAGATTTGAATAAGGTTTCATAAATTGGTAGTATTAGACGAGGTGATCTGCTATAGTAATTATCTTAAGTCACATCGTTGGATTGCCGATTAAGTACATTCTCAGAAATTTAATCAATATCATAGTCGTTATCATCAGCGAGTTTTGCCATTCGCTGCTTAAGATACAAATTGTAAAAGGGAAAAGTGTAGTCAATCCCTTTAACAACCTTCGACCTAACAGTTTAGCTAAAAGTCCTCTTTCTTTTCTGGGCCATCGTTCTACTCCAGCTCCGGCAAAATTTCTGACTTGTTTTATAACAGTTTTGTAGAAGCGTCATTATTGACATATATATGTGTTGTCATCACAACTGTCTTTTACCTGGCTATCCATCCTCTTCATCTGATGATCAGACTCGGATCTCCTAACAAAATATCCCTCTTCGGCCCAAAGATCTTTTCTTATCTTTCTGGTTGACTCATTTCACTCGGTTCCAATCCAAAATTACGATTTACTCCAGACGCTATTTATCAAGACTTTAGATTCATGTAATCTATCGTCTCACGAGCTCTGCTTCTTATGCTTGCATATATCAGCCATTGTCTTTATCGAGTTTATCCAACCTATCTACCCTGATAAATTTGTGAGCGTCTAGCTCTGGATATCTAGTCAATTTAGCCATTACGTGGAATTTATTTGATGGTTGTGATTAACCGTCTCCCCAGTCCTGTGACCTCTAGTCTCCCAACATTGTAATCAAATTATCTGATTATTCATCGTTGCTTATTCCACGTCCGTTATTTATACACAATCTTCGCATTTTTTCCATTCATTCGAACAACTTCAACATCCTGGAAAGGTAACCGATACTTTGCGTCTACTTCCATTGATAATTTGATTTTTTTCCTAAATCTGGTTTATAGCCTTAGGAAATCCTTGAATATTTCTTTTCCATGCGTTTAAAGTGCAAAGTGGTCAGCCAGATTCCGTGCAATCACTCTTGGTTGCAGTTGTGACCTTTTGACTTCACCTCTAATTGGTTTATATATACGTTTGTAAATATGCATGTGCACAGCGATCACATAGGAATTCCG